GGAAGGGATATATATCCAACTATTTTCTTGTAGCTGGACGCATTTCAATGGGCATCTGCCATGATCTTCAGGAGTACTTGTGGCACAATAAATAGCTGGGGGTATCCCCATCCATCTCCTTGCTCTTTGACACCATTGAAACTTGTTTTTTGGAGGTGAGGATTGTGCTGCTTGCAAAATTTTGAAGTGGTTTGTTTTCTGGTCAGAACAGATTTTTGATTTCCAGAGAACCATAAAGGTGAGCAGTTATAAGTCTAGTTTACACCATTGTAATTCATTCATAGGAAGAGATATCGGGCTTGTTTTCTGTTGCCCTGGAGACTAGGACTCAGAGCAATGGGTTCAAATTACAGGAAAAGATATTCCACTTGAACATTAGAAAGAACTTCCTAACTGAAAGATCTGTTCAGCAGTGGAACACTCTGCCTCGTAGTGTTGTGGAAGCTCCATCCTTGGAGGCTTTTAAACAGAGGTTGAATGGTTATCTGTCAGAGGTACTTTGTGCTTTCCCTGCATGGCAATGGGTTGGACTAGATAAGCCGCATCGAGTCCTTCGGGAGATGCTAGCGGGGTACAAATAAAATTTAATAAAATAATAATAATAATAATAATAATAATAATAATAATAATAATAAAAATAGATGGCCCATGTGATCTCTTCCATTCTTCTGTGATTCTATGACAGGATATCTTCTAATAACAATACTACTACTACTACTACTACTACTACTACTAATACAACTTTTATATAAGTCCTGATAAGTTAGTGATATTCATTTCCAATAGTAATAGTTGTATAGATAATTGTGTTGTCCACTTTGACCTCCATTTCCATTTATTTATTATCTATGTATTTCAAGCATTTATATTCTGCCCTTCTCACCCCAAAGGGGGCTCAGAGCAGAGCACAACATATAAACAGCAAACATTCAATGCTGGGACATAAATAGACTTTACACATACATAAAGATTAAAATAATTTATCTCGACATTAAAATCCACTGTTTAAAACAGTCTCAATTTATATCCTATTCTTTGGCAAGAGAAGGGGAGAGGTTTTTTCTGTTCAATATGGTAATAGGTGTGTTGGAATCAGTAAAGTTTTCTAGCTAGGGTCCCCTTTGTTCTGGAAAGCAATTTCTTGCACCAAGGAATTCAACACTTGTTGCATTATGGTATCTGTTTATTCTGGCAGAGCAGTAGCTGCAACATCTGTATTCAGGCAAGGCAGCCTTTGCCAGCTATTGTTGCTGCTGGAGTCTTGCCCCTGATGAAATAAAATGATTGTGCTTGTTAGAGACAAAGGAATTGACAAGGAAACCACCAAAGTCCACAGTTATCCCTGTAGGGGGGAGATATCTCTGACTTAGAAGTAAGAAAGGGACAGAAATGGAAATAACTTAATTTTCACACATCTGTGTATGAAAAAAATCTGTTGGCTGAAGATATTTTTGGTGCTTCAATGTGGAAGGAAAGAGGAGAAAAAGGCTATTCATGTACTGTTGCAGGAACATTCTTAGATTACAGCACTGTTAAGCACTTTGGTTGCATATGCAAGTGTTTTTACAAGTGAATAATGTTTGTATCCTTACAAATATATCAGGAACTCTTCAAGTTGGGCTGGTATAAACAACTGCCAGGGGTTGGCCCTGGGATGAGACTTGGACACATTGTTTTGTAATGGCTCTCTTTCTTTCTTGAGAAACAAACCCAGAAAATAGTGCCCAGGGTCTTTTTTTTTTTTTATGAACCTTAGGTCATAATAAAAGACCCTGTGGGGTCCCTTAGGACTCTGGTTCGTCCCCAAGCTATTTAACATATACACGAAACTCTGGGAGAGGTCATCCCAACTCTTGCAGTGATTTCAACTACTAAATGCCTTCTATCTTGAGATATGATCTGTTACAACTTAATTCTGGACTGCTTTTGATCTTGGCCCTAGTTCGTGTACACTGGCTCTAGATAATCCTTACTTGCTTGGTCTGCTAGCTGTGTATAGTTTAACTGGCGCTGGCTTTGCTCTGCTTGATCCTATTACTGGAACTTGGTTGGCGGGAACATGGAAAATATTCCTCTAATGTAGATGGAGTAACTGTTACAAAACTGTAGTATTTACACAATAAAATGCCAGAGAAAGGAAAGGAAAGTTATGGGGGACTTTATCTTCAACAACAATAATGTGAAGCCTTCTCAGTGAATTCTGGATTTAGCTTTCAACAGAGAAATTAATGCAACAAACCCATATGTTTGATTTTACTTCACATTGACTGTTTCATTTAACTTTGGTCGAGCCGTTTGTCTCTTTTTAGAAACAGATGTAAAGGTAAAAGTTTCCCCTGATATTAAATCCAGTCGTGTCCAACTCTGGGGGTTGGTGCTCATCTCCAGTTCTAAGCTGAAAAGCCAGCGTTGTCCATAGACACCTCCAAGGTCATGAGGCCGGCATGACTTCGTGGAGCGCTGTTACCTTCCTGCCGGAGTGGTACCTTTTGATCTACTCACATTTACATGTTTTTGAACTGCTAGGTTGGCAGAAGCTGGGGCTAACAACAGGAGCTCACGCCGTTCCCCAGATTCAAACTTGTGACGTTTTGTGCAGCAAGTTCAGCAGCTCAGCACTTTAACCCACTGCGCCACATTCTCATATCAGAACCCTTGGCGCATGTATTAAGCATCTGAAAGTAAACTAACAGATATGTCAAGAGAGAATAGAAAACGAAAACACAGACCGATCTTTCTGGGAACAAAGAAACACATGTTGTACTATCTGACTTGCTGAATATCTATCTTTTCATAGATTAAGAATAATTGAATTAGAAGGGCCATCCTAATCTAATTCCTTGCCGTGCAGGAATATTTAACTAAAGCATTCCTGATAAAAGGCCTCCAAAGGAGCATCCACTACCCTCTGATGCAATTTAGTCTTCTCTTACTGTATTGTGGAGCATCAAAATAACTAAAATGGATGTAATATAAAAGGGAATAATCTACATACAGTCGGTCCCCAAGTTACGAAAAAGATAAGTTCTGTAGGTTTGTTCTTAAATTGAATTCATTTACAAGTCAGAATAGGTACATTTTAAGAGTCACTCAAGCCTATGTTTAAACACGACAGTGTTTCCCAAACGTGGGTCCTCCTGATGTTTTGGACTTCCAATTCCTAGGAGCCCTAGTCAGGACATATCTAGATTGTAGAATTAATGCAGTTTGACACCACTTTAATGGCCATAGCTCAGAGCTGTGGAATAATTAGAATTGTGGTTTTAGAAAGTCTTTAGCATTCTCTGTCAAAGTGGGTTAGTGTTTCACCAAACTACAAATGGGTTGCTATGAGTTTTCCAGGCTGTATGGCCAAGTTCCAGAAGCATTCTCTCCTGATATTTCACCCATATCTATGGAGGCATCCCCAGAGGTTGTAAGGTCTGTTGGAAATGCTGGATGGACACCTGCCATGTCAGACTACACAGAGAAGCCATTGAAATCCATAAGCATGTGGACAATTTCAACAGAAAGGAGGAAACCATGAAAATGAACAAAATCTGGCTACCAGCATTAAAAAAAATTCTAAAATCAGGACAGTAAATGAAGAACAACACTCAAAAACAAGGGAATTTCATGCAAGGCCAGCTAGCACCAACCCCCAGAATTGGACACGACTGGACTTAATATCAGGGGAAAACTTTTACCTTTACATCTGTTTCTGAAAAGAGACAAACAGCTCAACCAACGTTAAATGAAACAGTCAATGTGAAGTAAAATCAAACATACGGGTTTGTTGCATTAATTTGTCTGTTGAAAGCTCCCAGGCATCAACCAGCCAAGCTTAAGAAACTTCAAGGTAATTCAATGCTAGTCAAGGTGGCCAATTGCAACATTCCCACCCTGGGAATACAGCCCAGAAAACTCACAGCAAGCTAGTGATTCCAGCCATGAAAACCTTCAACAACACATCAAACTGCAACTTCCAGGATTCAATATAATTGAGTCAGGGCAGTTGAAGTAGTATCAAACTTCATTCATTCTACGATAGTGTAGATGCGCTTACTGTAAGGCCAAAGACCAGGCACAAATCTGTCACTCTAGATAATACAATGTAACATTATTTTTGTTCCTGAGATATAAATATCATTTCCAAATTGGTTCAATCATAAACACATGGGAAAAGTTTATTACACTGCAAAAGCTTTGTTTTTGCGGGACATCCTGCAGCACATTTCCTGGAGTTTTTCAATGAATATCCCAACCAATTCAACATAGTTTGTAGCAGCCACAAAAAAAGAAGTTTCTAGAGAATGACAACAACCTTCAAAGTAAGTACCGCACAATTAAACAAGAAATAACAAGAAAAATGAACAAAATCTGGTTAGCAGTATTTTAAAAAAAAAAAACCCACTAAAATCCGGACAGTAAATAAAGGACAACACTCAAAAAGAGGGGAACTCCAGACAAGAAACAATCCGGGCCAGTTAACACCATCTAACAAAGGATTCTCCCCCAGGTAGGAAGCAACCAAGCTTTGAAGCTGCAAGGCTATTCAATGCTAATCAAGGCGGCCAATGGCAGCATTCACACTTGCCTCCCACCCTGGACATCATTCCACAGATATATAAACCTCACTGCACTAGTTTCCAACAGACCTCACAACCTCTGAGGATGGCTGCCACAGATGCAGGCGAAACGTCAGGAGAGAATGCTTCTGTGACATGGCCATACAGCCCGGAAAACTTACACGGCAACCAAGAAATAACACTTTCAAACCAGGAACAAGAATTTTTAAATTTTGTGACATAGTGTATTGTATCCCTAAGTGCAAAACAAAATGCGAGCCATAATGAATTGTTTTGTTTATTTATTTCGAGTTACTGGGTTGTTTTCTTTGGCCTCAAAACTTCCCCCTCTCTCCCAAAACAACACACACAGACACTCACTGCCTCTGAGACAGAGGTGCCGCCTCCGGGCCTTCCGCTTGTGGATTGGCTGCCACAGGGGAGGGCGGGGCTTATGATTGACAGGATGCGTCACGCGGGGGAACCTAGCTGGAGAACACAGAAGGAGCTGGAGCTGCAACCACTTTGGGGACCCCGGTGGGATCATGCCGTACGTCCTGATCAGCACGCAGATCCGCATGGTGAGCCCGTCGGGGCTGCAGGACAGCCAGAGGGAGGGGCGGGAGGGAGGGAGGTTGCCGTGCCTGCGGGGCTGGAGGAGTCCTTTTGGCTGCAGGAAGGAAAGGGGTGGGATGGACTTTGGTGTGTCTGAACTGACTTTCAGATCCCTTTACTTAGTTGAGCATATTGCTTTTGGGATATTTTGCCTGGCTGAGGTTACTCAACCGCCTCCTGCTTGCATTGCATTGCATTGCATTGCATTGCATTGCATTGCCCCTAAGTGTTTCCTCTGGTTCTAAATGCCTCTACACCAGGCATGGGCCAACTCGGACCCTCCAGGTGTTTTGGACTCCAACTCCCACCATTCCTCATAGCCTCAGGCCCTTTCCTTTTCCCTCGCAGCCAATTAAGAATGTTAGAATGTTGAGGCTGATCAATCAGAAAACATATGCAAATTTGTAGGTTGAGGTAGCTCATGCATGGACCAACTTGGGCCCTCCAGGGGTTTTGGACTCATTCCTAACAGCCTCGGGCCCTTTCCTCCCCCCCCCTCAGCCAATTAAGAATGTTAGAATGTTGAGGCTGGCCAATCAGAAACAATATGCAAATTAATAGGTTGAGATAGCTCATGCATGGGACAACTTGGGCCCTCCATGGGTTTTGGACTTCAACTCGCACCATTCCTATACAGCCTCGGACCCTTTTTCTTTCAGGAAGGGGTCTGAGGCTGTTAGGAATGGTGGGAGTTGAAGTCCAAAACCCTTGGGGGGCCTAAGTTGGCCCATTCCAAGTGTAGATGCACCCTTAGTCAGAAGTCAAGGATGCAGTTGCAAAGGCACAGTATAACCTTTCTGCTACCTTCACTGCTGCCACCTTCAATCAAAAGTCTTCAATTGTAGATTGTATTTACCACCTGCACTCAAGATATTGTCCATGTCCAGCAGCATGTTTTGCTGTCATCCAAACGACAACTCTCACCACCCATGGTCAGCAAGGCCAATTGACAGCTCAGGTGGCTAGTTTTAAAACTGGCCCTTGTTACTACCTTGACACATTAGAGAATGAATCCATTTCAAATCCAGTTTTTGCCTCCTGCAGAATTCTGGGATTTGTAATTTAGTGAGGCTGTAAAAATCTCCTCCCTAAACTTCAAACCTCAGGATTCTGCAGGAGGTATCAATCAGATTTAAAGTAGATTAATTCCCTAGTGTGATGAAGTCCTCAGACTACGGCGTCCATGATAGCTAGCCAACATAACCAGGTTGCGAGGGAGGATGGGATGTGCAGTTCAGAAACATCTAACTAGCCATAGTTGTCAACAATAAGAACTGAAATTTGATCTGTCTTTTAAAAAAGCTGAATTTTGCCCTTTGCCCCTTCTCTTCTGTGATGACACAGGCAATAACATATGTCTCAGCAGTAAGTATGTGACAATCTGAGTGTCAGAAATGATACGCTTTGAGTCTCCTTTGTGGAGAGAAAAAGGGGGGTATAACTCATAGAATCATAGAGTTGGAAGAGACCTCGTGGGCCATCCAGTCCAACCCCCAAGAAGCAGGAAAATCACATTCAAAGCACTCTCGACAGAAGGGCATCCAGCCTCTGCTTAAAAGCCTCCAAAGAAGGCACCTCCGCAACACTCCAGGGCAGAGAGTTCCATTGCTGAAGAGCTCTCACAGTTAGGAAGTTCTTCCTAATGTCCAGGTGGAATCTCCTTTCCTGTAGTTTGAAGCCATTGTTCCGCATCCTAGTCTCCAGGGCAGCGGAAAACAAGCTTGTTCCCTCCTCCCTGTGACTTCCCCTCACACATTTATACATGGCCATCATGCCTCCTTTTGGCTTTCTCTTCTGAAGTCTAAACATTTCCAGTTCTTTAAGCTGCTCCTCATGGGACTTGTTCTCCAGACCCTTGATCATTTTATTCACCTTCCTCAGGACACATTTCAGCATGTCAACATCTCCCTTCAGTTGTGGTGCCCAGAATTGGACACAGTGTGATTCCAGGTGTGGTCTAACCAAGGCAGAATAGAGGGGTAGCATGACTTCCCTGGATCTAGACATTATGCTCCTATTGATGCAGCCCAAAATCCCCTTGGCTTTTTAAGCTGCCACCACACATTATTGGCTCATGTTTAACTTGTCCACATGGAATCCAAGATTTTTTTCCACACATACTGCTATCAAGCTATGCACCCTCCATCCTGTATCTTAATACAAATAAACACAATAATGATGATGATAACTATTTTTTCTTATGTATCATATTTTCTTGCCTGGCCCTCTTTCTCCTGTAGCACATGATAGATGTCCATGCCCTGCAGAGATTAAAACTTGACCAAGAGATAGAAACTTGTAATTGGCATATATAATGTTACTGTCTTTATGAAATCAGCCACATAGTTTGTCCGGCTATGTACAGATGGTCTGTTCTTTTTCACGGCTCTATTTCAGGACTGTTGTTGTTTTCTTCCAGCTGTGCTTTCAGAATGAAACTACTGCTTGGCTAATTGCATTAGCCTTCCATGCTCTTTCAGTGCTTGTTGTTTTCATGCCATGAGAATATCTATATCCTTATGAACTGTTCTGCAGAGCAGTACAATTAACATTTATGATTTAAAAAGTAGGCTTACTTATTCAAACACAATTTCGTTTTGTTTTTTATGTTTTGTAAATAAAAGAGAAAGCAGACATCATTTAAAAGAAGCAAGGAAAAATAGAACAACCATGACTATGTGTTGTTGAAGACTTCCATGACCAGAATCTCTGGTTGCTGTGAGGTTTCTGGGCTGTATGGCCAAGTTCCAGAAGCATTCTCTCCTGACGTTTTGCCCACATCTATGGCAGGCACCCTCAGAGGTTGAGAGGACTGTTGGAAACTAGGCAAGTGGGGTTTGTATATCTGTGGAATGTCGAGGGTGGAAGAAATAACTTTTGTCTGTTTGAAGCAAGTGTGAATGTTTCAGTTGGCCACCTTGATTAGCATTTAATGGCCTTGCAGCTTCAAAGCCTAGCTGCTTCTTGCCTGGGGGGATCCTTTGTTGGGAGGTGTTAGCTGGCCCTGATTGATTCTTGTCTGGAATTCCCCTCTTTTTGAGTGTTCCTCTTTATTTACTGTCCTGATTTTAGAGTTTTTAATACTGGTAATCAGATTTTGTTCATTTTCATGGTTTCCTCCTTTCTGTTAAAATTTTCCACATGCTTGTGGATTTCAGTGGCTTCTTTGTGTAGCTTGACATGGTAGTTGTTAGAGTGGTCCAAGTATTATGTGTTCTCAAATAATATACTGTGTCAAGGTTGGTTCATCGGGTGCTCTTCTATGGCTGACTTCTCTGATTGAATTAGTCTGCAGGGACATCTCCAGCCCACCCCCTGTTTGGGTATCAGCCAACACGCCACCGACTTAAATCAAGAAATAGTTTTCTAAGATCTACACTCGCTAGAACACCTCAGCAAGCAAAAGTGGCAGGCTAAAATCCAGAACCTTAATCAATGGCTGTTACCAAATGAGAGACACACAGAAAACTGGGCACACAGAAAACTGGACAACTTGGAAGGCGCTGAACAGATTGCGCTCTGGCACCACGAGATGCAGAGCCAACCTTAAGAAATGGGGCCAGAAAGTGGAATCCATGATATGTGAGTGTGGAGAAGAGCAAACTACTGACCACCTATTACAATGCAACCTGAACCCTGCCACATGCACAATGGAGGACCTTCTTATAGCAACACCAGAGGCACTCCAAGTGGCCAACTACTAGTCAAAAGACATTTAATAGAATGCCAAATTTGCAAACTGTGCGTGTGTGTGTTTAAATGCAATACAACTCTTTGCTTAGCTCCTGACACGATAAATAAATAAATAGTCTGCAGTGCCTTTCATGTTCCTTGTTTTATGTTTGGGCAATGGTGCGTTTGGTGGTCCCTATGTAGACTTGTCCACAGCTGTATGGGATATGGTAGACTCCTGCAGAAGTGAGAGGATCCCTCTTGTCCTTTGCTGAACTTAGCATTTGTTGGAATTTCTGACCTCACAACCTCTGAGGATGTGTGCCATAGATGTGGGTGAAACTTAAGGAGAGAATGCTTCTGGAACATAGCTATACAGCCTGGAAAACTCACAGCAACCCAGCCATGACTATGTTTAAGTGTTTCAGTGACTATGTTTAGCTTTCAGTAGACAACCAAACAGCAACCAGCTGTCCAAATGAACATCTGTTCAAAACAGATATTTGTATGATATATGTTCCATTGCTGAAAATGTTGGTAACTCTTGAATCATATTTACGCTCAGGTAAATGTATGCATAAAGATAAGTAAGAGTGATAAATCCTACTTTTTATTTGTAATGTTCTTCTATGGATTGCTTCCATGGAAGATGGGGAGAAAAACGATTTCATAAATAAACATAACATAAACACAAAGCTTTAGGCACATGGGTCAAAGTCAAGGCCTGCAGGCCGAATCTGGCCCACCATGTCATTTTATCTGGCTCTCTGCATGCTGAACTACAATTCCTGTATTTTTTATCATTAGACCGTATGACTAGAGCTGATGCAAATTGCTTTCATGCCATGAGATTAACTATATCCTTATGAACCGTTCTGGAAGGCTGCTGTTTGTTTTGTTTAGTCAGGATAGTGGGGCTTGGATGTATATACAAGGCTTGCGGATATGATGTCATTTAACCTTTCCTCAGCCTCAAAGCCACAGGTACTGTTAGGTTGCAATTTCCATTATCCCCAGTCAACACTATAATCAACAGTGATGGGAGTTCTTCAGTAACATCTGGGGGCCCAAACTGGGTGGAAACTGAAGAGCACTGTCCACTATGTAAAAATATCATAGTTGGCCTTCTGTATCCACGGATTCTCTGTCCATGGATTCAGTGACCCTTTGAGGGCAGCCTCAAGGCAGATGTGGACCTCAATGAAAATGAGTTTGATACCCCTGGTTTAGAGCATTAGAGCATAAACAAATCCACTTCCCTATAACAGAACAAAATTATGATTACAGCATTATT